GGGCTGGGGAGGCAGCAGCAGGGCCCAGAGGAGGAGAACTCGCAGGAACGCACCCAAGCCAGGCCTGCGGTGAAGGGTCCTCCATTCCTGTCCTCGGCCAGGAGCCCTGCTCCAGCGGGTCCGAAGGTGCAGATGTCCCACCCCCACCCCGCACCCCACACCCTGTGCCCAGGCCTGGGGTCTCCTCAGCCTCCCCAAGGGGTGTGGGGGTGTTCGGCCGGCACAGCAGCCCCCGCTTGCTCAGAGCCCCGTGTTTGTCCGAGGGTAGGGTCCCATCCCCGCAGCCTGTCGCCGCCCCAGGCTCTGCCCTGGTGGTTCTGGGCACCAGCCGCGGGGTCGATGGCCTCAGGTGGCCCTTTCCTTGGCTGTCGCACCGCCTCCCGCCTCCGTGCTGTCTGCCAAGAGGAGCAGCAGCTGAGGAACGCGCTCAGGCAGCCACGCCATTGGGCAGGGACGGGGCTCCCTGGGAAGGAGAGGGTCGCTGGGGCTAGTTCCCCCCCAGGCTGGGCCCGGGCGAGAAGGTCCCCTTTAAACCTCCCAGAGCCACAGCGGCCCCAGCCCTCAGCTCTTAAGAACTGTTTGGGGACAGGGAGGTGAAAGGGGTGAGTCCTCAGTCGAAGGAGCGGAGGTTGTCTGCAGGCGGCCGAGGCTCTAACGACAAGGCAAAGCCTCGTAGTGGGTGCACGTTCACACCCAGGCAGGGGGTCGCAGGGCACAGCCACCCCTTGGGCAGAGCCTGGCTGCACTCATAGCAGCTCCAGCAGCTCCGGGGCCTCGCTCAGCCGCGCTCAGAGCCTGGCCCGTACCCCGGAGCCTTGGCTGCAGGAAGGGCTGAGGGCGCATTGCACAGGGAAGCGCAGTCCCGCTCGGGGCTGGTGGCTGGTCCTGGGGACTGTGCGCTGCACCTGTGGCTCCTGGAGGACTCCGCCGACAACCACGCTCTCTTGCCCCCGCAGCCTATTCTGACTCCTCGCCTGCCTGCGTGTCCATGCTCCAGCCCCACGACAACTGGCCGGGCCTCGGGG